ATATCTTTTTCTGTCAATATTAACACCAATTTCTAACTGCCTTTCTAACTGCCTTTCTAACGAATATTGCAACCCATGTCTAAAAAACTTCGACATCTTGGAAACATGTCTTTGAGAGTAGCAGTCTTTGAATAAAATGTCAGTTGTTACCCCCATCTTATTGCATAGGTGCTTTGATATTGCCATTTTGTGCATATTTCAAAATTATAAAATAAAAGATTATGAAAATACGGTCCTAATGAGAAAGCTACATATGTTTTCTTTGCAACATTAGTCAGTGATAGGTAAACATTTAAAACATGTCTTAACATTTAATTTGATTGAAATATTTTGGTAATCTCAAAATGTCTACTGAGGGGTTAATGATGAAAACAAAATATTCGTAATTTAGGAAAAAGGTATTGTGGACAGATACATCAAAATTTGAAATTTTTGTAGTAAAAAGAAGCCTGGAGAAAGACTGAAAATAAAAGCAAAATGTAATGTAGTGACTGAAATTTTACCTTTTACTTAAAAAAAAAAAATACAATATTTTTTTAAAGAGATTCTTAAAGAAATGTAGGTGGCCCCAAACTGTTTGCCTGTAGTCTATGAATGTATATATGTTTACACACACTCATACCCATACAGAATATATATATTTACGTAAACGCACACACACACACACACACACACACACACACACACACACACACACACACACACACACACACACACACATATATATATATATATATATACAAACAATCACACAAACACATATATACACACACATATATATATATATATATATATATATATATATATATATATATACACGCGCATGTGTGTGTGTGTAAATTTTATATGTGTAAGTATAAAAATCAGCTTATATTAAATTTCAGCACTGCTAAATTTCCTACGTGTGCTGTATTTCAAAGTGAATGATTCGCCTGTCTCGAGAGAGACAGATTGTAAAATGTCAAAGGAAACATAACCAAAAAGGAAATAATTCTGGAACGTAGAAATAAAACTAAATGAAATAAAACATGGATAAGAGTAAAAGAATTAATATAAGAAAAATATATGAAAGAAAACTGACAGCCTATGAAGGAAAGCCTGAACGAGAAAAATGAAAGAAAACAGAAAAGAATAAATAAAATGTGAGGATAAGGAATTAAGAATGAAGGATGAAAGAAATTGAGTAAATCAAAGGGCATATGATTAAGGAATGAATAAAAAACGAAACGAAAAAAAAAGCAATATCAAATAAGATATTAAGAGAGAAAGGAAGAAAAAAAAGGAAATGAAAAGAAAGAATATGGTTTTTGATAAAAAGGAATGAAAATAAGAATAAAGAAATAAATAATTAGGAGAATATGATTCGAGAAATAAATAGTAGGAAATATAAGTAGATCTGGTATGACGGAAAGAAAGAATAAGAAATATTGAAAGATAAAGAAAGAAATTGGAAAGAAAAAGGAAGCTAAAAGATCAATAAAAATAAAGAATAATGGAAGATAGAATGAGTGAATGAAAGAAGGGATGAATGAAAGACAAACTACAAAAAATAAAAATAAATAAATAAAAGAGAAAACTGAAGAACGAATGAAAAAAGAAAAAAAGAGAAGGCAGGAAAAAAGATCAATGAGAAGAAAAAATAATGAAAGACAGAAATTGAAAGAAAGACAGAAAGATAAAAGAAAGAAAGAAAAAACTAACAAAATCCTTAAATAAAAAGAATAACTAAAAGAAAGAAAGAAAAAAGAAAGAAAAAAAGGAAGGAAGATGGGAAGGAAAAAGAATGAAAAAGAAAGAATAATGACATTGAGAATGAGTGAATGAAAGAAAGAAAATAGAAATTAAAAGAAAGAAAATAAGAAAAAAAGAATTTAAAACTAAGAAAGAATAAATAAAAGAGAGAAAAAAGTAGAAAGAGGGACAGAGAAAATAAACACAAATATAATTAAAAAGAAAGAATGAAGAAAGAGATGATGAATGAAAGAAAGAAATAAAGAAACTTATGGACTCTACTGAAAGGAGATATTTACCAGCAGAAAAGCCGCTGCCTTTTTGATGCCAAACCAAGAATGGCAGAATGGGGACACTGAAATTATTCATGCAATCTTATAAAGAAACCATTTTTCAGAGAGCGCCTCGCCGCGCAAACAAAAAAAAAAAAAAAATAGAGGGGGAGGGGGAGAATGTCTGATTGAGCCTTCACTTTGTAAAGGATACTTTCTTTATCGACGCATAGTTCAGCTTCTTTCTTCTTTCGAAGCACAAAACGTAAAGCCTTATCGAAGAATTGAGATGGAAACCGTAAGACAAGCTTTGCTTGTAATGGGAAACGTTTGGAGATAAATATGGACATTTTCTCATAGAGAGGAGCCAATGTACTGACACATTAAGGTTTTTAAGTACACCAATTCATGACAGCTCAGTTTGAACAGAATTTTTTTTAATTTTTGTAAAAAAAAGTTCCAGCTTCAAGCTTCAAACTGATAAATGAATTTAGTTTAATTTTAGAGAGTGAGTACAAGACAATGAATCCCAAACGGTTTGGCGCGCTTCCTATGTGCGACGAAAGAGAATATCAGGCGTGGCGGAATGTTTGAAGACAATGATTAAGAAAAAAGTGTTTAAAAAATTTATATGCCAAAAATAAACATGATTTCAAAATGTAAAATATTATTATGGATTACTTGTAATTGCATGCATGAGTCCGAGTCTAAATAGTTATAAGTAATTATTGACCGATTTTATTATTGTGATATTTTTGCATTATATCAAGTATCAAGAATATCGTAACTAGGGTCCGCAAATTGGAGGAGAGAGTTATCAATGATAATGTTCTGACTTCGAATCCGCTGTTATCTCCCTTCAACCCTATCTTTGTTTTGTTATTTTTATATGTACATTTTATCACATAACATTTGGCGATGCGCGAGCAAATTTTAATTCCGAAAATGCAGTCCAAAAAAAAAAAAAAAAAAAAAAATGTGGGAAACACTGATATAAGACATGGCCACAGTACAATGTTTATGACAGAAATACAGATAGAAAATGCTACTAAAACGCTTTCATTTCGACCAAATCCTTTCTTGGTCGCGCTGAGCACTTTGAAGCATCACCAGCAAAATTTATTGGAAGTTATAGAAGTTAGAATACTATGTAGGAAATATGAAAAGGTTGCATAATGAAAGCGAATTAAGTTGACTGATAAAAATACAAAGTTAATGAGATGAGAAAAAATGCTAAGGGTAACAATAAAGAAATAGGAAACGTCCGAATCAAACAATTACAGAAATTGAATTATCTGGGAACTGTTAAAAGAGACAAGGGAAAATGCAGCACAAACCCAAAGGCATATTGTAATAGAAAAAATGCTACTCAATGAAAATTTCGTTAGAACTAAAGAAATGAATGCTGAAATGCTACGTAATATTATTACTCCGATCTGGTTGTGAATTTCAGACAATTTCCTTAAAGATGAATAGGAGACTCAAGGCCCCAGAGATGTGGTATTTTAAAAAGATGATGAGAATACCATAGACGGAAGATGTAAGTAACAAATATGTTTTTTTTCTAAACTTTATTGAAAAAAAAAGAAACAAAGACACCTGTTCTCAGAATCAGAAATATACATTGGACATTTCTAGGAGACATAATGAGGAAATAGGGCTTGGAGGATTTAAAGCTTACTTAACTCAAATGGGACAGAGGAAAACAAAGCATAATCTAGCTAGAGAGCTTAAGTATGCCATAAATACTCTTAGGAGTGACAAGTATTAAACAAAATTTATGAAAAGCGACAATGAACAAGAACTGCCAACGTCATCAAGAGACAAGGTATATAGAAAATGATGTTGAAGTTATGTACTCTTTGTGTACTTTCTAGTCTCCATTTTCCACTTTTTTGTAACATTTCAGACAATATGCTCGTTGGTTTTCTTTAGTTGAATGATGCATTTAGTGGTTTGAAAATGCTACAGACCGAACATATAAGCAAAGACGAAGTATTATATAAAATAGAAGGGAACGTATACTTAAAATCAGAAAAAAGATAGTTGAAATTTAGAGGACACATAACGAGGAAAGAGGGCTTGGAAAATTTGACGCTCAAAGGACATAGTGAACTCAAGATCGAAACAGCGTGTGACCTACCGAACGAGCTTGTGTAAATGAATGGCAGAACAATGGTTGAGGGGAAAAATGGCGATTTACGGACAAAAATGGGTTTCTATGAGGCGGGTTATGATCGGCCATGTCACAAGACATAAAAGAAGAAACAAAAGATATATATGGGACAAGTGATAGGAAACATCTTTAACCATACCGAATTTTGGTCGTCAAGCAGATGATACTGTGAGATGGGAGATTGTTAGAAAGTTTGTTATATTTTTTTTTCAATTTTTGTGCTGTAATCGCTTCCCGAAAACGAAACGACTGATTTTAACAAATACAGCATCTGACTATATTAACTGTAATCTACCAAAATGTTCCATCAGAACAACATTTAGGTGTGAGGTGTTCGCTTATCGATCGATTTGCAATTTCGGATTATTATTTATTGCCGTCCATTACTGAATACTCTCGGTAAAGAAATTCTTTACAAGACTGCACGAGGCAGCCATACCTTTCTTTAACGAGAAAATAGTCATCTAAAAGGATTGGATAAGCAAGATACCTGAAGAGATGACAGAATATAAAGCAACTATCTGGTAAATGTGTTGATACATAAATATAAAAGACAAAATAGAAGAAATCAATAGATAGAAAATGATATCTTCTTCTTTTATGTACTGTGTCCATTCAGATCATGGACGATCATGGCTCTCCATAGCTTTCTACCCTTTGTAGCACTTATTAAGGTTTATCTCCTTGCTATCTCTCCTAATATCTGTTCTGCCAACCAATTATATGAGCTCGTTAGGAAGGTTATTCCTTACTTTTTTCTGCTTCAGTATGTATCGTGAATGTCATATTCTCCAAAATTTCCTTCCTCATTATATGGCTCACGGCCAGATCACGTCAAACACCGGTCCCCGTACGATCACTTAAGTTAAGCAACGTCGAGCCTGGTTTGAATTTAGATGTGTAACCGCTTGGGAATACCAGGTGATTTAAATTTGTATGCGTGGTTGGTGTATGTCTAATGGCGCGGAATTATTAATCAGAGAGCCGCGTTCCAATTCCAGTTGTTTTTTTTTTTATATTCACTTACGCGCAAATACTCTTGGGAAACGTATAAATCCAGCTCTTCTCCCCACCCCAGCTATTAGAAAAACTTTTATCAATAAACCATTATTATTTCCAAAAATAAAATAAAATTGTATACAAAATATTTAGATTTCAGCATTAAATAACCAGCAAATAGTTGACATGCCGCTAAACAAAACCAACCAACTTCATTATGTTCCCTATATATATCAACTGTCTTATTCTGGTTTAAATTATAAGTGTCCTTTTTGTTTTATTTTTCTAACATTCAGCTCAAAACAATATTCTTAATAGCATTTTTCTGTAGAATCACAGTTCTCTTGACCCAAGTGTCTTCTTCATATGTCGGGTGGTTTTCCAATATTTAATGTCATATCGGAGGAATGATGTTACAAAAGGGTTAAGCTCTCTTTTCTTTGTTTGTTAATACTTTTAATATTCTTGTTTCTTAAGGATACATGACACAGTGTATAAAGGCATTGGTTAGATCCAAAGAATTGTGAGTTCAATACCTGGTTAAGGTAGTGGAGAACGTGGAGAGGTGAATTAACAGGAGATAACTGATAGCTGACATCCATTAGACGTGTCACGTGGAACTATAACAGTCTACCCCAGTGAGCGAAATAAAAGGTTCATTATGACATTCTAACTTTAAAAAGGCTGGGGCATATAATGGCTGAAACGTTGTGATAATTATGGCAACAAAGATGAGGAAAATAGTCGGAATAATGTAAATGTTGTACATAATACCTCATCTCAGAAATATAGACAGATTCTTGTTTCTTAATATTTTGTTTAGCTTTAAAATTGTATCTTTCGCCATTTCAATGTATCTTCAGATTTCGCTGTCACATTTTTTTCGTCCAATAGATAAATTTTGTATTTAATTGATTCTGGTGTCTCCAAGGGCTGGTCATTTTATTGAAAAATATTCATCGTCTTAAAATAAAAAGCAATGATTTGTACGAAAAACTGAAGGAAACACTGGAATCAGAATGAATGGCAGAGGTCGATATTAACGCAGATACATAAGTTAACAATGGAGCCAGAAGAGAAGGAATGATAGAGGGAATAACGCATATACAATATATTAATTAGTTTATGTAATGCAAAAAAATAAAAAAGGAAATAAATAAATTGAATGAAAAGGGGAAGTATAATTTGAATTGAGATAAACGAAATTGAAATGGATTCAAAAGAGCAAGATAGCGATCAGGACAGATGAAAAAGAGACAAGAGGAAAATAAACTCAAAACAAAATGTTTACATAAACGAGAAGAAATGAAATAAACCAAAGATTAAGACTGAAAGAAAAAATGAAGACACAGAAGACATATGAAGAAATGGCGAAAGAAAATAGATAATTGAACAAAAATAGAGAAATCTAGAGAAATTAAACCCAGGCTAATGTTCTAAAAGTTATAGACAAAGCGTTGTGGATTGTAGGAAGAAAGAGGGAAAAAATAAATGTTAAAAAGAAAAGATAACATGGAAGATATAAAAGAAGAAAAAAGAAATGTATTGACAGATATTTTTTCAAGAAGCATCTGCTTAATCTTAAGTCACAAACGTAGTAAATGAAATTTCTAAATCACTCATTGGACAGACCACTTGGACGGGTATTTGACGCGTCATTAAAATCAGACAATTATGTCTTTGAATTCTCTTTCCAAAACGCTACAAAACTTATGATGAGAATCCTCAAATAGATTTGAATATAAACGCGTCTCATAAAGTACGTAAAGGAAAAGAATTTAAAAAAGCAGGAAAAAGAAATAAAGAATGAAAATAAGAAAAAAAAAAATAGTAAAAAATGGACAGCAAATAAGAATTAGATAAAGAAAAAAGAAACACAATCCTATTAAAATATTTAAGATTTTGCAATGCAAAAAGAGAAACAAGAAAAAGAACCGAATTGCAAACCATGCGAAATTTTTAATAACGCCAAAGTGGGGAAAACTACAATCTATGACTATTAAAACGGATTCAATCGTTCAGAGGAAATGATGAAAACTCAGCCAGGAATTTGAGAATAACAAGTTATCTGGGAAAACTCGAAACTACGCCAAAAAAAAAAAAAAAAAAAAAAAAGAAGAATACACACAATATCATTTTTTAATATAGTCAGGACTCTTCCTAAACATAGAAAAAAAGATGTCTAGATCAAATAACTTGAAAATTGAACTATAATGCATGAAATTTAAAACGATGTATGGATGCGAAAAAGAAAAGGAAGGGAAAAGAATCAACAATATTGAGAATTGTTTAGTTTCAGTTATCAAACATTTTGAGGCAAGATTGAAAATTGCAGCAAAATAATCAGGAGTATAAGAAATAAATAAACGCCCGATATTTCAAGATAAGGAACAAAGGAAACATTTGAAATAGATATATGAAAAAGAAAAAAAAAATATTACATTCACAAGAATTCTAATAACATTTTACAAAATAGGAAATTTCAAAACTGAGAAAAAAATGAAATGGAAAGAAGTGAATACAAGTAATTTCAGAAGTTTGTCTTGTCAAAAGATATATATATATATATATATATATATATATATATATATATATATATATATATATATATATATTCTTTCCTCTTGAATTTTTTTATTAAAAAATATATATGTATGTGTATGCACCCCTATGTATATATATTTATATATTTTATATGTATGTGTATATTTACCACTAATATTATATATATATATATATATATATATATATATATATATATATATATATATATATATATATATTGCGCAATGACATTTTTTATTTGTAATTTTAATAAAGCAACAATAATTAGCATAGATTCTACCAGCCAGAAGCATCCCTCATGAATAATGAATATAAATTTTACCGAGGTTTTAGGAAATTCAAGGTACATTTGGAGTGATGGACTATAAATGGAACTGCACATGAAAAACATAAAAATGAAATTGAAAGTTGACATATAAAAAAGAAAAAACAAACAAACAATAAAAACTGAAATGATTGTGAAAATATGAAGAATCTATTTGTACTCATCATTACTGGCGAACTTGTACAACTTTACTAAATTTGTTTTGATCTACAAATATTTTCATGGCTATAACGAGCTTTTTTTACCTGGTGTCCTGGCTAGATGAATTTAAACGTGCTACTGATAGGCAAATGGTCCCATCGGTTTATTGATATTGAAATAGCTTAATGCAACCGCCACTTTCTTAATGTTTTTCCTCACATTACTGTGTAATTCCCCTTTCCGTTTATTTGCTTCCCTGATAAATTTTTTTCTTAAAATGCATCGTCATTCTGCCATCTTCTATCTTCTTGAATTTGTTCATATTTCATCCTTTCTCAAGTCCCTATACTCAAATGTTTTCTCTCATTTTCAAATATATAGTATATGTATGCTTGTAGCATTCTCACCTAGAGTGGGGTGAAATGATTAAAAAAAATTTAAACGACATATTTTTTTTTATTAATTTACTAGAAGTCACATTACAACACTCAAGAACCATTCATTGTAGACGGGGAATGAATAAGATGTAGATAGAAGAAAGTGAATATTAAAAGGATAAAGAAAATATAAAGCGATTTAGACTTTTTATACTATCTTTCGCCAAAGACATGACCCAAGTGCAACTCAAACTTCCCCCCATGAATAACAAACATAAAATTCACTGGGGTCATGAAATTCAAGCTCATTCCTAATCGAATCCAGCAGTAGCCTGTCATTGAACTCACAAAATATTGGATCTAGAATAACCCTTTTATCCACTGGGCCATGTACCCTGGAGGACATCTGTGTCCGAAATTTTGGGACTTATAAACCTATTATTTTAGCAATATTGTAATTTTTTTTTTTTTATTACACCAGAACTGATATTAATTTTTTGTTGTTTTGAATTGGCTTTTCTCTAAAACTTTTATTACTGGTTCCTATATTGTGTTCATTTCATGCTTGAGCGGTTCATGATATTTTTGATGCCTTAAATATGTGCTTGATTTTAAAAGTTTTCAAATTTTCCAGTGATGGTCTGACTATTATTTCAACCTCATCCCAAAGGGGAGGTGATCTCCTTTTCCTGCATATGTGGTCAGCATACGCCTGATTTTTGATTTCCCCTCGTGTTACAAGTTTTTATATTCTTGCAGTCTTAATTTGTACCTGTTTCTCCTTTATATTTCTTATGACAGCTGCACGGATGGTGTTTACAGTCCTTTTCATTTTATTCAAATAAACAAGTCTTTGAAGAGATGTCCGCGAAGTGTTGAACCAGAATTTTGAAGATCATCCTGATGTTGTATGGACCAAGATCTTTTTTGTATTTTCTCCGATAAAAAAAAACAAGCATGATATTTTTGACTGAAGCTGTTTTCTGAGTGTTTTATCCTCTTGTACTCTTCTATCCCTTTTTGTCGGAGCTGTTGCCATATAACCAGGGTAGTTGTTGAGTTGTAAGGTAAATTTATACTGAATTTTCTTATTCATATATCTAAACGATTAAATATATGACTTTGCTCGAAATGATTAAGCAGTGGAAGATTGCTTTTTTTAACTGTTATAAAAGGTTTTTGAAAAAAAAAGGAATTGACCCAAAAAAAATAACGCTTGAGATATATTCAAAAACCAGGCTACAGAAACATTTAAAAACCAGAAAACCTTTGAGACCTTTAGTCAAATAATTGAAAACATCCGGAAGAGGCATCACCAAATTTTCAACATTTAAAAATCTAAAAAATCGAAAACATCATTTTGTATTTACTAAAAGCCACACAAGACAAACCTCAAATCAATTCCACATAGAAGATTACTATATGAAGTGTATATAATGAATATAAATGAAAGAATAAATAAGTATAAGATTTTAACATGAGGATAGAAAGTGATTTTTCCTTTACTTGAAGAGGCCA